GGTGGGTGCTCTCTCTTTTTTCCTTTCTTTCTTTGCTGGATTTGGTGGCTTCTCTCTCTGTCTCTTTCTCTCTGTCTCTTTCGCTCTGCCTCTCTCACGGTGGTTCACAGAATTCTGCATTGTAAATTCACGGCCCCTCCGTAGGAGAATCCTAAGTGGCAAGGTTGGGATGGGGCTTACAGAAAAGAGGGCAGTGCCGGTTGCAGGGGTAAGCATGTGATGCTGGAGCCCAGCTGCTTTCCAGGGGAGGTGAGACCCTGTGTATTTAACTCGTTTAGCCGCTGGCCTCTTTCTACTCGAATAGCCCACTTCAGAGAACTCCTTTCATTGATACGTCAATAGCTGGTTGGGACCTCTCACCTTCCCATCCTTGCTTTCCCCTTGTTCGTCCCTCTGGCCTGTGCCGATGGATCCAATGCAGCATTTGTGAATACTGTGCAGAGAGCCTGTTTTCTTTCTCTTTTACGCTAATGCAAGGGGGTGCTGTCCTGGGGCTGCTGGGGTGCTGCTGGAAAATCCATCAGCCCGTGACGCTCCAGTGGGCAGCATGGGGGCTGCGGGAGGGGGCAAGGGGATTGCTTTGATGTTTAGGGTGTTGCATGTGTATTTTCTTTCTGCTGAAGCGCTGTAGCTTAGACATCTTTCCTTTTGCCTTTTTGCAGTCACTGTGAGCCTTGCTCAGAGAGGAGAAAGCACTTGTTTGTACAAGATCCCCAGACCTGTAAATGTTCCTGCAAATTCACAGACTCACGTTGCAAGTCGAGGCAGCTTGAGTTAAACGAGCGCACTTGCAGGTTTGTGTCCTGAAGGATGAAAGAGAAACACACAAAGAGAAAGAGAGAGAAAGAGAAAGAGGGGGGAGCTTGCTTCCTGCTGACTTTTGGCACCAGTGCTGTATGATTACTTCTTTTCTCTGTCCTACGTGGGCCAGAGGGCAGAGGGGCTAACTGAGAGGAGGACAGAGTTTCCCTGTGTCAAAGGGTGGCTGAGCGTTGCAGATGTGCTGTCAGGACTTGGACGGGGATGGCTCCCAGAGACAGGGCATTTGTATCTATGGTACCCTTCCCCATAGAAAAAGATAACGGAGTTCATGTTGCTGAGGTAGCCAGGGGGAGGGTCTGTAACCCTCTGTACATTATCTGTACTGTCAGCGTACTGTTGGACAAAGACAAATCCTTCGCTGACTAGGATTTGACTACCCCTGTCTTCCAAGCCCTTTTTATGCAGCTTGTGGACGCTCTGCTGTGTGCAGAGTGAGGAAAGCCAGGCCAGGAGCCTCCCTCAAGGCTGTCCCCACATTCTCCTTTGCCTCTTTGTTCTTAAAAGCCAGGGAGAGCACCCTGTCCTCTTGCACTGTGTTCACAGTTTCCTGTCCAAGTCTTGGCCAGAGCTGTGCTTTGAGGGGCTGCACTTGGGGCTGTGACGTGGGATACAGCAGGATTAAGTCTTGTCTCTAGGTGAAGGCAGGTAGAGATCTGTATTTCAGGTGTGAGGCGCACAGACACTGTGTGGGTACTGTTTGTTCAGAGATCCATGCTGTGCATGTGTCATCTGAGTGCTCTCTGTCACGCACCATCTGTGGCACAGACGTGCAGAAACTGATTCGTGGTTCTCACCTGAGCACTTCGGTGAACTCAAGTGGGGTCTCTTGACTCACCCCAGCTGCATGCGCATCTCTGGTGTGGGATCATCCTGCCTATCCAGAGAGAGACATAGAAACGGGGTTGATAACGAGCGTTTGGTTGTGATTCTGAACTCGGGCCCCTTTCACAAAGATGTAGGAGGTTCCTCCTGTTGAGCAAGTATTGCAGTGGCAGTGGTTGGATGGGGGAGAATTAAAGGAGAGAGAGACAGGGTCCTCTGTGGTTACATCCTGAAAGAGGGGACATCCATTTGCCTGCCTGGAATTGGCTAGGTGAATAAGGCTGCTACAACAAGTAGCAAGTGCTTCCTTTAGGTGTGAAAATGCTTTGTGCCCAAACCAGAGAGGCTTTGGCACTGCCAGTGTAGTGGAAACTGCTCTGTATACAGAGGAATTTTCTGGGGTGCTGTAATTTCAGTGGGAAAGTAATTGATGGAGGGAGGGGCAGAAGAGAGCAGCTTCTGGAGTCAAACTTTTCCCAGTGAGCATAACCCTTAGAGTGTGAGACTAGACCTAATTTTCATTTTTCTCTCTGCTCCTGTTCCCACACCCCAGAATAATGGGAAATTACCCTACAGAATTTGAAGGGTAAGAAATAGTCACAAATACAAAGAAGAAATAAACAATACCCCAAAGAAGCCATGATGGCAGAAGGGGTTTACCAGTTTCTCTTACTCGTCCCTCTTTGTGGTGGGATAATTGGCACTAAAGGAGGTTTCCAGAGCTGGTGTGTTGGCCAGAAAGATAGGAGGGAGTCATAAGAGTGGGTAGCTTATCTGTTTCCAGATAAAAATCTGGTTAAGTTGAAGTCCCTCATGCTCTTTCTTGTAGAATTAGAATTTGGCCCTACAGGGGAGGGTAAATCCTCATTTCTCCTGCTGCTTCTTCAGGCTGCTGCTGCTGTTCTCTGGTGCTAACTCCTGTTCGTGGCAGCTAGTGGAACGAGAGACACTTTCTTTTCACCTTCTTGCCTGCATGAGGCCCTGTTGCCTGCCCTGCTTCCTGCCCAAACAAGAGGCTAGAAGGAGAGCTGAGGGAATGTGTCTTTCTGCATGCGTTGCTTAGCCTTGTTTTTCTGTGTGTTTGTGTGTGTCTGTGTGTGCATGGTGTGAGAGGGTGCAAACAAGACACTCAGCTCATCTGTGAGGAAGCCTCTGATTCTGCTCCTAAATTTACCCCTGTACCAGTATCCTCCCTACCCTGCCCTGTCTAGGTGAGCCTGGGGGAATAGTATTTGTCGACCCATTCACGGGTCGGGATTCTCAGCTGTTTTGCCCCATCTGCACAGCACTTCACCCCACCAGTGACGTCATGCCATGTCTTAACACCATGTGCTCTTAAACACATTAGCCACCTCCCTTCCTTCCCTTCCCTTCCCTGTCCTACTTGCACCCCCATCACAAACATTAACCCCTCTCTTTTTTTCATTCCCTCTCCTCTCTGACAGATGTGAAAAACCGAGACGGTGAGCAGCGGAAAAGAAGGGGGAACAGCCCTGTTTCTGGAGCCTGATTTCTCGCCTGGACAGAAAAAAACAAAACAAAACACTAATCCAAATGAACCCTAAAAATGAAGGATCGGTAGAGCACAGCACTTTCAGTACGGACGATGGACTCCGGAAGGAACATTCCCCAAGGCACCCGCCGCACAGAATTCACCTTTGGGTTTTGAACTGTTTTATTTTATTTTTCTTTTCATGCTGCTAAATAACAGAGCCAGGAAGACTATAGGGGTGTATTTGATGGGTTTTCTCATGCATACATATATATGTGTGTATACATGCATATACATATATATATATGTATATATATTTTAACCACATCTATATATACATATATGTATATCTTAACCACACACACACACATATATATATTATATATATATACTGATTATTTTTTTTAACATTGCTAATGTTATTGGTGTCTTCACTGGATAATACTCGACTGCTGTGGACACAAGCGGGCTACTTGGGGCATAAGAAACAAGCTAAGACTGGACTTGAGTAGAAGCGCTGGGTGTAAACTTCTTAACTCTTAACTGACTTGTGCGGCCTCCGCTGTTTCTCTGTAGAGTGTGCTGTACCACAAACCACCTTCTCCTTGCCTGGGACAGGGAGGAGAGGTGATGGAGAGGATGGGCAGGGAGTTCCAAAGAGCGGCATCCTAGGGTGCGATGGGTCAAAGGCCAAGGAAATGGCCGTCTGCGTGATCAAGGAGTCCTCCCCTCTCTTCCCCCAACCTTCGCCCTTACTCGGCTCATAACCTGCCTGCCTGCCTTGCTGGGACATGGGATGTCAGTGTACATTTTGCGTTGACTTTACTCGCTATAGAAACTTTGCCAGAGAGACGCGCTGGCTTCTCTTAAGGATGGTGGGCAGCTGATGCGCACTAACTTTCCATTCAAGGAAGTATCACAGGAGTCTAGATTTCCCGCCCTTGGTGGCTGCAAAAGGACACAAGGCCTACAGTGTGCTGAAGCAAGAATGGGGACCGGTGCATAGCCACACAGTTGTTCAGCACTGTCTGCTTTCTTCATGCACAGAGCTGCCACTCAAGAGCATCCAAGATGCTTACGGAACATTTCTGGAAAGGGATATTAATCAAAAGTATATACACAGTAGGGGTGTGTGTGTGTGTATGTGAATGTGTGCTTTTCTGTCTGTGTGTATGTATGTTTGTGATTTTCTCTCTTTTTTATATATATATATTTATTTTTATACATATATATATATAAAAAAATAATATATATGTATGCCAAGATTGAAGGGGGGAAAAAAGCAACTTTTGCTGCCTTCAGTTTGCGTGCCCAGTGTGAGTGACCCTTAAGAATGTCAAGATATTTTTTTTTTTTAATGACGTACTGTAAATATCAGGCCCCTTTTCCACGTCTTGGGCTGGGGAATCAAATGTGAAGGCAGCTGGAATCCCTAAGCCGTGTCTGAGAATCTTGGCTATGTGTGTATCTGCAATATACCCTGTGGTGTATGTGAAACCCACCTTACACATGCGCGCACACACACACACCCCTGAAAGCGTGTTTGTACATCTATGTGGATATATATAATCTAGTTCTGTGATTAAAATTATTAATAATAACAATAATAATCAAAAAGGTACTCAGTCTGTGTCAGAATGCTGCCAAACATCATCTGCAATTGAATTTTCAACGCCTGATAGTGTACAACACGGAAAGCTTCCAAAAAGACAAGACAGTCTAAAAACAGACTCACAACAAGCGACTACTAACCACTAGGAACTCCCCATCCGACTGATGGCTTTCAGGAGGAGAAAAAACACACGGGTGGGTGCTTGCATCTGCAATGTATAATACTCATGCTGCATCGTGCGCAAGACAGAGGCTTCCGATGGGGGGGGAGGGAAGAGAAAGTGTTTTATATACTTATTTAATATCCCTTTTTAAATTAGAAATTAAACAGATAATTTAATTAAAGAGTAGGGATTTTTCAGTATTCTTTGTTAATATTTAATTTCAACTATTTATAAGCCGTACCTCCTTTTTTTTTTTTTTTTTTTTTTTTTTTTTTTTTTTTTTTTTTGTTATGGGGGGGGAGGGAAGAGAAAGTGTTTTATATACTTATTTAATATCCCTTTTTAAATTAGAAATTAAACAGATAATTTAATTAAAGAGTAGGGATTTTTCAGTATTCTTTGTTAATATTTAATTTCAACTATTTATAAGCCGTACCTCCTTTTTTTTTTTTTTTTTTTTTTTTTTTTTATTTGTACTGGTTGTGTATGAATTTAACCTTCCTGTTGTCCCGTCCCATCTCTCCCCAATTGTTGGCAGAGTCAGTAGCATGTTATGGGCAGTTATTTAATTAATTTCTCTAACACCTACCCCTACACATTCCTATTGAGACAAGGGTTAGATATACATCTACATACTATATATATATTTGGCTATGTGTTTGTATATATATATATATGTTTATGTATATGTGTGATTCGGATTAAATAGACGCTACGATTTTTTTATATATGTAAAAAGAAGAAACAGGAAAAATAGAAAATTCTACATCTTGAATCTCTCTCCTTTTTAATTTTAATATTTGTTATCATTTTATTTATTGGTGCTACTGTTTATCTGTAATAATTGCGGGGAAAAAAGATATTAACACTACATATTGTGTCTAGTGAATTTTTTCAAGATATTCCTTAGTACATATTTATTTTTAAACAAAGAAATTACAGATATATCTTAAAAAAAACGACGACGACAAGGAGAAACAAACCTTTTTTTGTATTAAAGAATTTAATTCTGACCTTGATTTCCTTTGCCTTCTCCTTCTGCCTTGCATCCTGGTTTTCTTCTATTGTGTAGCAGACCCGCCAGCGTTGCCTCTGGAGGCTACAGGGCACCAGCAGCCTGCCGGTCGGACTCTTGGATTTGCGCCCAGAGCCTCCAGAAGCATCTAGGTACCTAAAGCCCGTTGAAATGAATGGGAGGTAGGCACCAAAATACTTGCGTGGAGCTCAGCCCGAGTTCCCTGCTCAGTGAGAAGAGGGTGGTCTGATGGGCAGGAAGGAGGGGGCAGGACTCCTGGGTTCCTTCCCAATCCCTGATGCCAAGGAGCGCAGCGATGGTCCCAACCCTGCCTTTGTCTTGTCAGGAGCCAAGCCCCATGTGCTGGGCACTGTGCAGGCACGAGTGGATGTGGTCCTGGTGGAGCTTACAATCCAAGATGAAAGTCAAGCTCTGAGCCTGCCCTTCACTGGTACTGGACTGGGTGTTTGCAGCTGAAGTAATGTGTATGTAACCTACTGCCAGTGATGGCTCAGCAAGACCTCACCGTCTTGGCCAACCTGGAACAAAGAACTTCAGCTTGCACCGTGCTCATCGCTTCTTGAGGGATTTTGCTACTGTTGCATCTTTTGTGATGTGCTTTGGGGTCTTTGGGAGCAAAAGCTCTTTGGAAGCACTATCCCTTCTTCATCAGCCATGGAGGTCAGTGCATCACGTGGCAGTCTGGCCATGCTGGAAAGGAGCGTATAGGCTGTACCTGGATGTCTGGGAGGTGACTCGCCCAGGAATACAGACCACTGAGTTCATGGCTGCCTGGGTCCTGTTCTTGTGAAGGTAATGGATCTGGCTTTTATTTAGGGTGGACTTGGGTAGCTCAACAGGTGGATCTGCTGGGTCTGCAGTCACAGCCTCTGCAGAGGGCAGAGTGGAAGAAAGAGGAGTATTTGAGGAAGCTCTGGTTCGTCTTGTTCAGGAACATCTTGTGGAGTGCAGCGGTGCAGTGAGTTGAACGGGGGCTGCCTGTGGATGCTGCTGCGTGAGGAACCCAAGGAGCTGCTTCCCTTGTGTATTCATCACTGGCTTTTGGTTTGTGATGATGGATCTATGGGCTGTTTTGCAGATGGCTGTACAAGGTGGCAAAGACAGCAAGCCTATCTTTAGCAGACCGGCATTGTCTCTATGTGACCTGGGAAATGTTTGCAAGTCATCAGATTGAAAAGATTGAAACCATCAGGTCAGTTTTGTTCCCTTGGGCTGAGCTGCAGAGACCTCACTGGATGTGAAATTGCAACATGAGGGAACCCAGGATGGATGAGGGAGCGGGTCCCTACTGTCAGTCGCAATACGTCAAACTCCACCAGCTGATGGCAAGCTGAGCTGGCTGCTCCTGGAGGAGAAGAGCATGGTACACCCCTCTTTCTCTCTTCCTACCTCTGAGAGCTCAGGAGAAGTAGGACATCTGCAGAGCCAAGTGACCTGGTAGCCATCTACTCCATGACAGTGGCTGTGGCTGCTGCATGTGGCTGCAGCAGAGCTGAGGCAACTGCCTCAAACCACTGCAGCGAGAACCTGCCCAAACCAGCTCTGAATGAGGTACCTGGTGTCCTGGAAGCAGTCCAGCTCTTCTCCTTTATCCTGCAGGGTGATTATGGCTGGGCTGTGACCTCTCGTGAGGACAGCGATCGCAGGTTGGTGCTGGAGGGGAGCTCAGCTCACTGAGGAGGCTGTGTGTGGGTGAGGACAACTCCTCCTGGAGGGGCTGGGGTGCAGGAGCATGGCTTCCCCTCGCCCTGCCCAGCCTGCACCCGTGTCTCACACCTGGCTCGCATGTGCCCCGTCCCGAGGTGAGGCGAGTACACGTGGAGCGAGGCCAGGTTTGCAGGCTGGCACTCTGATCTTGGCAAGCAGCCTTTCACCCTGCACACGAGAACTTTCCCTCAAAGGCTTCTGGTCACGTCCACGTCTTGCTGGCTGGCTAATTAAAAAGCTGTCTTCAGGCAGCCGGGTGGTGCTTCCCTCGTGCCTGCTTCATTTATTCTGTGGGATTCAAAGAGCTGAGGCACCTCAAGGGGGAGAAAAGGGTGCCCCAGGCAGACATGACAGAAATCCCCACTATCAATGGGAAAAGGGTGCTTTCAGTTGAAATCCCCTTCTGTCTTTCCCCTTTGGCACCCACTAGCTGGTTAACCCCTTGTTGCTATTGTCTTACGCTGCTGATCGGGTCTGTAAATCAGCTGGACTCTGCTTGAGCTCCGCCAAGCACCTGCAGTGCCTATGTCAGAAGTGCCTGTAAAGCTTCTGTCCTCCAGCGTGGTCCCATGAAGGACCTTGGAAGCTCAAAGGAAATCCATCCCACAGGCCGTGTCCTCCACCATCCATCCATGGGAATTCTGTTAGTGAGAGATGGGTATTTTTATCCTGAGCCACGTGGTGAGTGTGCAGGCAGCCTCTCTGTGCTTGGGATGCTTGAAATTGTAGGCTAATCCCAATGGTCCAGCGTAAGGTCTGCAGTTCAGGTCCGTGTAAGTGCCACGTTTGCTCCCAGTGCCCCGTTTGGGGCTGGGCCATCGTGGCCCCAGTGGCACTGTGCCACCCCACAGGCAGCTGCTGGCCCCTGCCGTGCCCCATAGCACCCGATACTCCACAGCACAACTGGGCTGCTGAGAGCTTCTGGCCATCCCAGAGGGACCAGGCTTTTGTGCCTGGACCTCCAGCCAAGTCCCTGTTATCTTGTAGGAGGTGGTGAGTTGTGGATAAGAGCAGGGAGGTGATATTTCCAGCACCAGCAGTGAAGGAGGGTGCAAGAGGAATGCGAAGAGCGCCTGACCACAGCTTTGAGGAAGGCTTTCCCTTCTGTCGGAGTAGCTGAGAGCTGTGCACCACGTGGGGGCTGTGCACCACAGAAGAGATGAGGGTCAAGTTCCCCCTCAAATGTCAGTGGTTTGCTGTCTGTATGCATTGGGGAGGGGATCCCAAGGTATCTCCTAGAGGTACAGCTTGCCATCACTGTGAGAAGGTTACAGACTTACATAGGCAAACTTGGCAAATGGGCTTGTTGGCATGTGCCACCCATTTACCTGCCCAAGGCTGGCCTCCTGAGGCCAAAAAGGCCTTCCCACATGGATTTCTTTTGATACACTGCCCAAGCCACTTCTATACATCCAGGGGATGTGTTAGGAAATAACTGCACTTCTGTGCTATATCTGTATATTGTGATATGGGGCTAATCTTGCTGCTTCGCGCTCTTTATTTTTACCTCACTCTTTCAGATGCCCCAGACACTTTTTGAGGGGGGGTAAAAAAAAAAAAGCCAAATCCCTCCCTAACCTGGAATTGCCCAAGCGTCTCCTTAGTCATCAGGGCTGCCCGCTGCAACCTCCTGCCGTAGGGTCCTATGTGCCTTCAGCACCCAGGTACCTCTGCTGCCCTCCCAGCGCTGCCCATCAGCCAAGCCCCCTGCACCCAGCGGGGAAAGGTGTCTGCGCTGCGAGCCTGATGCCAACGCGGCAGGGGTTCAGCTTGGGGGTTACTTCAACACCTCCTTTGCCAGCTATTCTGGGAGCTGTCGGTACGCTCCATTCTTGGAGCGTGTTGCGTGGTGGGACCTGGGTTAGGAAAGGCGTCTGGCTCCGCTGAGCGCCCTGCCAGGACTGCCGACAAGTGGCAATTCCTGCCGAGCGCTCCCCAGGGAGGCCCGTGTAATCTGGGCTGAAATAATCCGGGACGCAGGTCAGGATATCTTGCTCCCAACCTGTGTGGTGCCTTGGAGGTGAGAAGCTTTGGCTGTGGATGGCAATACCTCTGGATCTTGGTTGAACGGGTCTGTGGTGAAGGAACGGTGTGTCTCATGCAAGCCCTTGGGCCTTTCGTGTGCAACCCTGTACGATGGGAGCATTATCTAAGCAAAAGAGGAGAGAACCAACCCCTTAGCTGCAAGCCCTATGGACAACTCGGGAGAGGCAGCACAAGATGAGTACAATGATCAGTTTAAGCAAAAAAATCCAGTTCCATCACCTCTTCAGAGATTTTAAGGCCAGAAGTGTGACCTGCCTGAACTGACCAGAGCCCTTCTCCTTCATCTTGTCTATAACTCCTACCTGAGCCATGGTGTACACTTTGCAAAGGCATCCAAGCTGCCACCTCACTACCTGGCCTTCCTGTCCTTCTCACCCATAGAGAACCTGGTGGCACTGGAGGTAGCCTGTG